ACAAGCATGGAAAACTCACCACTCTTATGCCAATACGGTCGCAATGATGCGTTTAGGTACCGAAATGGAATTGCATGAACATTTACGTGGTGGTTATGTAATACAGCGAATCGATAATAAAAAATCTGCGTCGACAAATTTACATAATCGATGTCATCAATTATTTCAACTAATCGGTGCAGCCCTAGTTTACTTAATGTTTTGTCATTCAACAGCACAAGCAAGACAACCTGAAGTTTTGAAGTATAAACCAGACACCTGGTGTCTCATGTTCCCTCAAGGAAGAAATGTTTTTTTTTCTGTCCTAGTCCTTTTTATGTATTTTAATGATTAGGCTCTTGTTGTAACCAAGCAGCTGTGAGGGTGTCACACGTGTTCCCTGGGACGTCCTGACCTTTCGGAGAAAGCTCGTATCTCCCAAAGGTCCAGCTCTTCTTCAGGAATCCACGTTTCTATCACCACTGGGCCCGTCTGTTTGGCAGGCTCGGGCTTCTTGGGGCGCAAGGCACTGGAGCGCAGACCTTTCCTCTGAGGAGTGTGCGTTTCTGAGATGTTAGACAAAGTAAACTGATGAGAACAGGTTAAATTGTCAAAAATGTAATAAAGATAGTCTGCTTTTACATTAACCTTTACGCCTCAAAGGGTATTCTTGAAGTTTTTTTCTCAAAATACCATGCCAACATGTAATTGAGTGCATCTCAGCATTTACAGACTCTACTCAGCTAACACTTTGGATATTTCATCAGAAGTGTAAGGATTAAAACAGCTGCTGTGGTTTTAGAGATACTAGGGATGGAACATAATATTTTAATTTTTTTTCACTCTCATCTGAATAATTCTTTCACAGCATATAACCTATTTAAAACCATTCATAATGACTGAGGTTAAAAACTCTTGGAAACCATAAATCCACTTGTGGACATTAACTGTGCAAAGATTCATGCTGCTAAAATTAATTGGAGCAAAGTTACAGAGGTTTTAGTAAAGAAATAATACAGGACGGACCATGATGGTACCATTAATAAATGTTAAGAAATCTGAAGTTTTTACTTCCAAAAGTTATTTATTTTTTCTTACCTGCCTTAAAAGACTTGTTATTGAATGTTTGTTCTTTTGAAAAAATTATCTAAACATTTATTTGTCACGATATATATTATATAAAATAATAAAAATATTTTTGACTTCAGTTGGACCATATTCACTCTAAGTCAAGTGAAAAACAACTTTTAACACACTTTACAACATATTTAGGTATCTGTTTTGACTTGCTTTAAAAAATAATGTCAAAGATTTTTCCTTTACAAATTTGCTTGAATGTATTTACAGCTTTGCAATGATGCCATTTAATACAATTTGTCTACTTTCTGATTCAACTTCTTGACATTTGAACTGTATTTGGTGAATGTAAAAATAGTTTCCATGAGCTTTTAGCCAAGATTATTTGGTTTCTTTTGTTACCAAACATGTCCAGGACAGACCTGAAGTTAAAAGAAATAGAAAACGGTAAAAGCTGTTTTGCCCCCGATACCGGGGGCATGGGGCTCTAGAGGTTAAACAAATCAGCACTCCCCCACCCTCCCTTTTGCAGTGCAGCTTTTAAACACATCTTTAAAAAAGGGCCTGGAGAAAATGTGTTTCTCAAAAAACTAAACATGCATTTCACCTTTCGGAGTCTCGGGAACTCCCAGAGGGCAGATGATTTTGCGAATGCAATATTCAGAGCGAATGCCGTATGGTCCCACATCCCGTCGCTTGATGATCTCGGTGGTGGTGATTTCGGTATCTGAGGTTTCTGTAGCAATGAGTGGGGATAGGGCTGGGTTGGTACGATGAGAAGAAAGGCCCGAAAAAAAAATGGAGGAAACCCACTCCATCTTATGAAAAATAACTACCAAATGAGACTGGGAGCAATCATTCTGATCTGTTTCAATCTCTGAGTCAAGCATGAATAAGGATGAAAATATATACATGTATCAGTTTTCAACATTATATCTTGCAGTTTCTATATCAAATTAAACCATTCATTGAAACCAGCAGAGTTTATGACTTTGTTTCTTTCTCCCCCCCAGATGGAACACCATTTTTACTGTATGGTTTAAAGGGTGGTGTTCTACCTGTACGTGTCGTGCCAACGGCAGCAGACGGTTTCACGGCCATGTCGTCCCATCTCAGACAAGCCCACAAAAGTCTCAGCATGAGGCTCACGCCAGCCAGAGACTTCACCGTCTGCAGCCGGTACCTGGAGGAAGGATTAGTCATGAATAGGAGCAAGTAAACATTCCCAGATCTCCAAATTACCAATGTAATGGTTTCTGCTATTCACCAGCGCAGTAATTACTCCCTCGCAGTTACAGAAAACAAACTGCTGCACAATCATGGGACAGGAAGCGCTAGATCAAAACAGACTGAGGTTGTTGGCCAAGCTGTTGTCCCTTCTCGACCATTTTCAGGAAACCAACAGAATAAGCTGCTTTCATTTTAAATAAATCATTTTGTGCACTAGTTTGGGTGTGGGAACAATATCCTTCCTCGCCAAAAAGCATATTAAACACTTATTTCACATAGTTTATATGATTTTTTAAAAATTTACAGTGACTTGAGGTCATCTGTCAGCGAATAATTCCCAAAAGAAGACACATATATACCTTATCTGCATGGTAATAATGCTTTTCAGACAAGGAATGTGACCCAGAAACACATCTTGAACATCTACAAAAACATGAGCTGCAGTGTAAGTTGGTAGATATTTAGTTTCCCATGAATAACCACGGGTGGAAAAATTTGCAGAAAGGCTGCAGGACTTGGGTCGGTACACAAAGTGAACATCATGACACCTCTCTGACCAACGAATGATTCATGTCTACTGCGGGACGCTGAGGTCTGGTCAGAATAACCAGAGGTCCCTGTGTGACAGCAGACTGGGAGCTGGAGCGTCACTCTCAGCCAAAGCCACTAATGGCAGACCGGAGGGAGAGGACATGGAAGATAAATTAACACAGGATGTGTCACTGTGACAAAAACAGGAGAAGATTAAAAGCTGAATGACAAAGAAAAAATATGTCACTCTTGAAGCAATTTTTTTTTGTTTTGTAATACAGTAAATGTTGCCTGAAAGTGGACATATCATGCTTTTAAATCCTTCTTTTTCACATTTAAATCATTCATTAAATCAGTGGGGTCTATATAAAGTGAAACTGCAATACTTTGTTCTGAATTCCTCCTTATTGTAACTCCACAAGCCCCTCTTTCACTGCTTTTCTGAGGTGCATCTCAGATCAACTCGTTTTGAGGCTGTCTCTTTGAATCCAAATGAGGCACTTCACACCCCGCCCCCCTCCAGCTCCCAGACCAGTCCATTCTAGTTTGATAAGAGGGGATATATATATATATATATATATATAAATATAGTATCTTACTGATACATAAATTATTTATCTTACAGATAAATTAATTATACTGTTATCTTTAAATTTTTTTTATAGTTTTATTGTAATTTTGTGTATGTGTACTGTATGTGTATGTGTATATGTACTGTTTTATTCCTATGTGATGCGATTGCTGTGAAACACTTTGGTTAACTGAGGTTGTTGTAAATGTGCTACATAAATAAACTTTGACTTGACTATAAAATGTTGCAGAAACATTTCATTTAAAAATCAATGAACTAAAAGATGTCAACAAGGGAAGACTTGTCCAACCAGATTTACATGTTGGAGCCAGAGTCTGACCCAGATCCAGAGGGAATAAAAATGACAAAATTATAGTTGGTAAGTCCATACAGCAGTTTTGTTGCAAATACTGTGATGTAATAGTTCAGAAAATACCATAGAAAATAAAGAAAATTGAATGAGCTGAAAAATATGACCTCACAAAAAATATAGATATCCTTGCAGCACAAGGAGAGACTAAATTGAACTTTTCTGCACTCAAACACAACAAAATGTATTTAATGATTAAAAAAGGGGATTTTGAATATGTCCCATTTCAGCTAATGTTGGATAGTTCAATGTTCTTTATACAGAAACTAGAGGGTGTATACTAAAACTACTATGGTAATAAAAAGGTTTTGTTTATGAAAAAATATAGTCCATCAGTTGATCTGTAAGCACAGTGATGTTTTTCCTGTTTTCAGTCATTTTTTGTATTTCCTTCTTTAGCACAACACAATGTTGACTGGAGGGGGTATTTTGTGACTGACGTGTTGTGATGCTGTAAGCTTCAGTTTCCAGTAATTTCACAGTCTAATCCAGTATTTGTATATGAACTAGTATCAAAAATACAAAGTGATGCTGAATGTAAGGCTGGGGCTATCTATTGAATTGCTCAGGCTGCCACAGTTACACAAAATGGAAGGGGAAAACACTCCATTATGAAAAAGAACAAGCATTAATTTCTTTTACCTTATAAATGTGTTCATTTTGCTACACTGAATTATAAATTTAAAATTGATTTAAAATTATTTTTTAATATTAAATGAAATATAAAAATAAAAAACTTCACCCGCAGGTTGCCTGTTTTATAGCCCTGCTGTAGGCTCACTCTTTTTA